CATGTTACGGAGAACTACATTTATTTCGTTCGTCGGTATTTTTGCGATCCCGTGACTAATTCAACTTGTCACACGGGTCGTTGGAATCCGCGAAATGTCCTCTTCAAAATGCATTTCGTTGCATTTTGATACGACGTTGTCTCGATTAATTAGCGCTAATAACATGAGACCCATGTCACAGAGTACCGGAACTTTCATTTGTCTCGTAGAAAACAATGTTCATTTCGCTGGTCCGTATTTTTCGCAATACGTGAAGCAATTGAATGGTTAATTAGGCCATTGCCGGCACGAAAGCGCCCCCTTTGGAACGCACTTGGTCTCGTTCCGATAGGAAGTTGGATTGCTGAGAAACCGCCGGCTGAATGCGACTGGAACTTTTACTGCTACGTTATCCGTATTTCCCTCGGCCCTCCCGCTCCCACCTATTGACCTCGTCCGACCGCACGACCAGGTGAATGAGTCACCGGCATTTTACTACTCGCTGTATCGCCGTTACTATTGCTGGCTACGCGAGCTTGCGGGTCACAGGTTGGTCGTGTCGCTTCCGGGTTTCCGGCCTCGGCGTCCGGACCACCTATCTCCGGAAACGTTTGACCCAGCGGCGCCAAACGAAACGCATTCCCAGGAGCGCACCTTCCCTTATCATACGAGTTTATAACCGTGGGTTGCCACAGTACAACGTCGGTGCAAATAACGTTTTATCGACAGCTACGAATACGTGGCTTTTCGGGCCGCGCGATTCAATGAAATCGCATAAATTCGTACGTTCGAGGTTCGACGAAGTAATTCAACGGATCTGCTGCCACGCCCATCTTTTGTTTCGAGGAAATCGGTTCGGGACGATATTTCCTTCTTTTTAAATAATTATTAATACGTGAAAGATAATAGTAAGCGGAAGATAATAATAAATCAAAAATGGAAACAATTTTTTAAAATAATTAATAACAGGTGAAAGATAATGGTAAGCAAAAGATAATAATAAGTCAAAGATAGAAGCAATTTTTTAAATAATTAATAACACGTGATATAATAATAGTAAACAAAAGATAATAATAAGTAAAAAATAGAAGCAGTTTTTTAAATAATTAATAATACATAAAAGATAATAGCAAGCAGAAGATAATAAGTCAAAAATAGTATCAAGTAAAAAGTAATAGTAAGTAAAATATTAAATAAAAAATAATATAATATGATAATATATCAATATCTCTCTCTCTCTCTCTCTCTCTCTAATTAAAAATAATAATAGCTAAAAAATACTAAATAAATGCCTTTTTCGTTTTTGTTTGCAACGAACCCTGAAGAGACGCGCCCCGATGTGCGTCTATCACAGGGTACCCCGTGATCGACAGTGAACGGGATAACAAAAGCCTGACGCTGACGTGTCGAATTTCGGCAGAGCAGTTTCATCGCGAAATGCGTAACGCATTAGCAAAATTAATTAAAACCGTATCCTGGCGTACCGTACCACGACGATACTCGGAGTTAATCACTTTTCCGAATTCTTCGTGCAATGCTATCAGCCAACATTATTCGAGCTGCGAATGCGCCGATAATTACGTTCACCCCACTGGATCGAGTAATTAAAATTTTCATCAACCGCGCGCCGGCAAATCATAATCAATTTAATTGTAGCTCGCCGCCGGGCATCGGATTACGTGGTTGCCGTACCGTGACGTAGAATAACCGGTTGCTGGTTAACCGAGTGGATAGTCTCGCGTATGACCGGACAGACGCAGCCGTGCTACCACTGATCGAACGAACGAGGTTGCCGAGTTTCGTATTCGAATGGCGTTTAGTCTAGTAGCGCGGCCATTGTCTCGATCAGACATAGCTAGCAAGCCTCGAACCAACGTCTGCGACCGAATAAATGAGTTTTTGCTGCAAGTAGTAAGTATCGATAATTATCAGGCGAGTAGATTGTGTCTAGGAATTGTCTGAGAAGTGGAATGAGTCGGTGAAAATAGTCTTTCCTTTTGCTGCAAGTAGTAAGTATCGATAATTATCAGACGAGTAGATTGTGTCTGGGAATTGTCTGACAAGTGGAATGAGTCGGTGAAAATAGTCTTTCCTTTTGCTGCAAGTAGTAAGTATCGATAATTATCAGGCGAGTAGATTGTGTCTGGGAATTGTCTGACAAGTGGAATGAGTCGGTGAAAATAG